TATTATTATTATTATTGTAGTATAATATACACCAAAACCCCGCTCTAATTATTAAGGCTGCTACGATTATCTCGGAGCTAAAACTTATGACTGATGATCATTCGAACTGTGAGTTTCGGGTCCAGGACCTTCGTTCCCCCTAGCCTCAGGCCGCTCTTCGAGGTGGCCAGATCGTTGAGGGCTTCCGAAGGGCTTCCTGAGCCGGAACTACTGCGAATAAATATAAGTAGAAGCGTGGATAATTGCCAATGCTTTTTGTTTGAGGATTCCTGAATATGTTTATGTTAAGCGGTACCTCCAGCCACGTGGCTGCCGCGGCAGAATGGAATTGGGATCGAAAAGGTACCGCTATGGTAGGTTCAAGAGTGGCTTTGATGATGTTGGTTCACGTGGTGTGCTGCCGAACACGGCCATCCAGGTTTGTCCCGATTTGGCGTGCGCTTCTTCCGCACGCAGTGGGTCCCACAGCTTCCGATGCGTTTGAGTTTGCTCGCAACTAGTGCAGTGTATGCACGATTTCAAGTTGCTGAGGCCTGGCATGGGTGGTGCACCCAGCTGGAACAGCCATGCAGCCACAACACGACTGTGAGGTGAGCAGGTATTCTTCCTCTCTCTCCAGAACGTATGCTTCGACTTCTTACTATAAGGGTCCTCATCCAGACAGGGACGCGATGATGGCTACTATAATCTATAAGGGGTTCTTTCAGAGCAACAAATCATAAAGGTTCCTATAAGGTGCTGTGAAAAAGGGTTAGTTTGAGGGTTAAGGCTTTCTGCTCTGACAGTGGTGCTGGGAGTCTCTCGCCGAGGTGCTTGCTTCCGCATGCCCTACGAAAGATGCAAGGCAACAGCATCTTCCAGCCCAGGGTGGGGAGTTAGATAAGATAGAGGTCTCAGGAATTCGTGTGTAATTGCATCCCACTAAATCAAGTCCCTACATATAGCTACGTTAAATATACTGTACCTCCCAAAGCCCATTCTAAGTAGCACATCAGTAGGGCCCCTGTAGCCACAAGCCTCGGAGGCCAGTGTGCGCGCGCGAGGTCGAGATATCGCACAGTTGCAGCCCCGGCAAGGAGGTTTCAGGTTTCAGGTTTGGGTTTACTAGGGTTTATAGGGTTTTGGGTTCATAGGCTTTAAGTTTCGGCTTTGGTCTACTATGGCCCTAGACAGCCAGAAAACTCTTCGTACATGCTTATACATACGTATATATCTATCTATATACATATATATACATATATGAAGATGTATGTATATGTATACGTATACACGCGTTGCATGTGTGTAAATATCTATATGTAAGCATATATACAGTTATATACATATATGTACAGCTACAGTATAAGCATACTTGTTACAGGCAGACATATTGACCTGCCTTGTCTTCTTGTTCTTTACTTTGCAAAAGGTTTGTTCGGTCTAGTTTGGAAGTTCCTTTAACACAAGACAGCCGGAGGATCGACTGCACCGGACAAGCAAAGACCCAACAGGCATCAGAACTAGCTTCCAGATGTAAATGTAGTAAGCTCGAAGCCCAAACTCCCAAACTCCCAAACCCTGAGAACACACCTCTGAGTAAGAACTCCTAGGTCATCTGAACACCAAGCCGCAATGGTCACAAGAAAGAAGGCAGAATTCTTGAAAGTCCTCCCCGAACCAGAACTCCTGTTACAGTGGTTCCCCTAAACCCTAAAAAAAAAAACCCTAAACCCCCCCAGGCCACCCCATGGGGATGCTGTTGTCCCAGCTGGCGCCCGCACCACGCAGCTGGGACGACCGAGGGCTGCAGGCACTGCGGGATACTGGGGCTCACATTCGCCCGAATGGGTTTAGGGTTTAGGGTTTAGGAATGGTATGGTCATCCGGGGGTCTATCCACCGCTCAGCCGAAGCCAGATCGACCTATAGGAATTTGTTCATTCGGTCGCTGCCTTATGCAGAAAATTGCACGTGGTGCTTTCGGAGAACGAGGATAGCGAGCTGAGAAGCGCAACTACATGGTTGTAGATCTGGTCGCCAGTATGACAACCTGTTTATGGAGACATATAGCCGTAGAGTGCAGATATGCTACAAGTCATGATCGCAAAACGCCACTCGACACCGCCGAACAATGTGTACCAGTGTAACCACATGTATGCAAGCGGTGGGGTTCCGACCCATAGCCAGGTGATGGAGCTGGAGGGCTGCGGCAAAAGCGCCCTAGGCGGGATCGGAGTTCTTCTGGCTTGCAAGGTTCAGGGCCTGCTACACTGGACATCTAAGCATTGAAGGTTTCGGCTCAATGGACTAGGGAAACCCAAAAGTCCGGAACCAGAAGAACGGGGCAAGCAGACCCTGGACCCAAAAAGGCTCGAAACAAGAGAACGTCCTGCGACCCAGAACGGCCTTTAGTACCATCAGGACTGCTCTTGATTCCAAACCCCATACCCAGCGCTACAATGTCTGGAGTCAACAGCTCAGGGAGCACTTCGCACCATTGGCAATGGTTGAGCCTGCTTCTTCCCACTACTCGTAATTAGTATTGTGAGCGGCGTTACGACTGTATGATGTTCATGACTGTTGTCGCTACGGCCGGTTGTTGTATAATGCTTCTTGTCAGCATCATCACATACAGTATCATGATGAAGACTAGTCAGCTGATTGCGATTCCTATCATAACCCTGGCTTATATTGCACTATAATCTACTGTGCTGTGCTATACGATACTATATTTTGATACTATATTTTGGAATCATCGTAATGCTAGCCAAGATACGGAAAAAATAATGTTCACAATTTTCACTTAGAATAATGAAACTAACCCTAAACCCCTACACCCTAAACCCTAAACCCTTAACCCTATACAAATAATGCTACTTTTCTAGGTCTCTCCAGCTGCGGTGGACTGCTCGGCCTGGCTTTGCAATGGCCAGGACAGGCACCTCGGCAATGATACCTAAGAATGTGTGTGTACATATATATATATACACATTCGTATATGTTTATTATATCTATTTATTTATAGACACATGCGGACATACACACACACATACATACATATATACATACATACATACATACATACATACATACATACATACATACATACAGACACACACATACATTCATGCATACACATGCATACATACACATGGAATATGTGTGTATGTATGTGTATGTATATATGTACATGTATGTATGTAAATTGTATTTTGTGTCTCCCTCTATCTATACTATCTTATCTCGTCTGTTCTGTTCCTATCTTGTGTTGTCTTAATCTTATCTAGTTACATAGTTGTCCATTTAGGTCGCGAAGGCAGTCGCATGTATCACCCTTGCATAGATTTTTATCTGCTATGGCCCACTGAGGCACTCAATGGCAGCGGCGCTGCTGCCCCTTGTCTGCTAGGGTTTAGGGTTTAGGGTAACCGGAGACGTCAGCTCTCTACCCGCCCTAAACACTGCTGGAACAACTGAAAACAAGTAACTTGATGACATCTCCATCCGGGCTCTGAACCATCGGAAGCAATATCCATTTTTGTATCCCTACAAGACTGTAGAACATACCCCACAACCCCATTCTCATTTTTTGCTGACTCCTATTTCAATGCCAAGGCTGCCAAGCCGGTGACTGCTGTGGTGCTCTGCAACGAGCTGAGCATGGCTTCCGTGCCCTCACAAATTCTCGTCAGGGCCCCAGACAAGCACCCCAAGCTGCTCAGCTGAATGTCCAGCTCAGCATTGGACAGCCAGTATCTTATGTTCTTATACCCCTGGTCTAATGCCTGTATGACGATGGAGGCATGATATTGCAGTTGCATCTGTTTCATAATGCATGAATGCGTGTATGCATGTGTATGAGTGCATGTACTAGGTATCCTCTTCCTTGCCGTAGGTTATATTAAGCTCCGTAAGCGAATCTTAACGGAGTCCTAAATCCTAAACCGCAAACTTAAGCTTTAATTCTCATAGGGCCCCGAAGTCCCAAACCCTAAACCCTAAACCCCTAAACCCCAGCCCCGAAGCCCCTACACCCCTAAACCCTAAATTCCAATCTTTCGACCGCAAACTCTAAACCCTAAACCCTGAACCCAAAACCCTAAACGCTGGGGCCCAAAAGCCCTAAGCCCCTCGACCGCCAACTCTAAACCCTGAGCCCTAAACCCTAAACGACGGGCAAACCTGTTTGCCGAGGGTACAGCAACTATCCGAACACCTTGGGGACCGGTGGACATACCGCAGCAAAGAGGAATACGACAGGGCTCCGTCGAGAGTCCTTTCATATTCTCGGTCGCGATGGAGGTTGCTACGTTCAATGCGCAGAAGGACGTGGAATGGCCCCGCTGCATCCCGAGCATACCGGAGCTTACGGTCCAGGAGATCTTATACATGGACGACTCTCTCATATGGAGCGGGTCCAAATCAGACACACAGAAGAAGTACAACATCCTTCGCCGACACCTTGCAGAATGGGGTTTATCCCTAAACACGGACAAAACGAAGTACTATGCAAGCACACACAGCACCGAAAAAGGGCCCATCGAGCTAGAAGGTTGCTTGATCTACCCGGCCCCTTCGCTGGAAGTATTTGGCATACCCCTGGAAGTCCCACTCAGACCCACCAAGCTGATGGACACAGCCCTGACAAAGGCGCAGAACAAATTCTTTGCTAACAAGGAGCTCTTCCTGGCCCGTGGTCCCCTAGCCAAAAAGCTTACAGTCTTCCAGAGTGTGGTCGCAGGGGCGGCGCTTTGGTATTGCCCGGCCATCAGTCCCACAGTGCAGGCCATGGGTGCCCTCAACGCATGCCAACTTGAGCTGGTAGCCAAGCTGGCCAGAATCAAGCGTCGGCCGGACGAGACATGGCTAGACCATAGACTTCGTTCTCACAGGATGGCAAGAGCAATACTGCACACACACAAACACGAAAGATGGTCGTCCATTTGGTTGCGAAGGAATTGGGGGTACAGAGGGCATGTCAGCAGAAGCTTTCAGCGGACATTCCCACCAGCTAGTTCCATCCTGCAGAGATGCAGAGACCGAGACTGGTGGCAACGACAGAGGCGACAGCCCGGAGGGATCACCCACCCAGGAGTCTACTACCCGTACTTACACAACGACGAAGCGCGGGTCATACGAACCTGCCACAACCAGGAGTGGCATGAAGTGGCCAAGGATAGAAGCAGGTGGCACGGCCTTGTGCCAGAATGGCTCAAACGAGAAGACGTTGCATGGTGCTCGGGCAGGCAAATGGCTTTGAGCTACTAGCCCTCCCTTCCCCCCCCACCACTACTTGAACCAGGGGCCTGTACATATACCCCTCCCCGGGTGAAAGTGGCGGGGTGCTTCTCTGTGGATGCGGCAAACAAAAAACCCTACTCTTGGCCACTCTCACCTCTCCCACCCTACTCCCTAACAAGCCAACATACATACACATAACATTCGCAGCCGATTGCTTGAAGACGAAAAGTTTTCTTTCTTTTGTAGAGCAGGCAGATAAAGAGTAAGCCCTGCATGGAGCTCGCCGGATTGCTGCTCCGAAGCCTCGTGTGTGTGTGTGTTGCTTGTGACAAGCACACATGGTAAAGCAGCGGCGGCCGGACAAGAACCCTACAACACCGAGTCTCAGGACGAGGCAGAGGACCCCGCGATGATCATGGAGGGCTTGCAGGTGGCCTTGGAGGACAGTTGGGCACAAGGGATGTATGTGGACGACATGCTCACCCATACGTGGGGGAGCCTCAACCAGCTTGCGACAGGCCCCGACACCCTGCAGTACTTGTCATGGTGGTTTGGAAGATTGACAGTGGTGGTTCCCCCGCCTCCGGACCTGACACCGGCTCCGCGAAACTATCTTTCAACATGGCAGGCACGCTGGTCCGACAATGTCACAAGCCTGGCAAGATGCTACCTGGCGATTCAAGAACAGCACGACCACCACTCGCTCGTCCAGAACCCAAACCAACAAGGACGAGCTGCAGCTCGCAGGCGAGGACAACACCAACAGCGAGGACGACCAGCTCCACGCAGTCCGCGCCGACGACATACAGAAGAAGGCCCCGCACAAGGTGCCCAGCGAATGCCAGCAGCCATCCCCCAAGACGAAGGACCGGACCATCGAGCCCACTGGCTACCACGACGGCAAAGCAAAACACAGCAAAGACGGGGAAGCGAGCCGGGGGCGAAACATGGCCAAGCACCAGACCATGGCGACGGCATTTCCTTCGTGGCGAGCAAGTGGCTCAAAAAACCGGAGAAGCCAAAACACCGCGACCCTGCCAGAGA